ACTAATAATGAAGAATATTTCATTTTTTTCAAACGTCTACGAAAACCATACATTTTAGATATAGGAATGTAATGACAAAGTTCCCTTATTTTTCAGCGTACAATATGCTGATGAAGGAAAAAATTGGGGTTGTCATTTAAAAAAAATGAAGTTTTCGACTTTTCTAGATAGGGAAATTCGGCGCAAATTTCTGACCATCCTGTATAATTTTTTAAAAAACTTTTCAAGGGTTATGTAAGCTATTGGTCCTCTCTGTGCAAACCCTGAGAATATTTGGCCGTACTCGAGTGTAATTTCGAAAAATTATTTTTATTGTGAAGGATTGCATCTGCCAAAATTTCGAGAAAACTAAAATAATTACAAGATGGTGGACTCTAGACATATGATGACTTATATCAAATTATATTAAAATTTAGCGGGGAAGTTGGGGTCCATTTCCGGTATAACCGGAAGTTGGAGAAAACTGAAAATATTTTAGCTGAAACGAGCACCTCGGATAAACGCTATATGCAAATTTTCAGAGAAATAGTGCCAGTAGTTTGCCACATAGATATAGACTCAGCTCGTCGTGACAGACCCGCTTGATGGTAAAGATACCCATAAGAGATACAAACAGACCGGCTGCACAATTGGAAATGAGTTATGCGCTGTTATGCGCAAGCGCTAAAGAACGTGACAAACCGTACATCGTCGAAACCAGGTACGCATTTGACTTGTCGCGGACTCGTACATGAACGCGTCCGACGGTCGTTGGAACTCATGACAACTTGTCGCCGACCAGTCCGCGGCACGTCCACGGGTCGGATGGAACAGCACTTTTCAACTGCGCAGGCTGGTGACTGTCAATTGGCAGTCAAAAGTGCGGTTGGAACGAACCTAATATGATTTAACTATCATTGTTGAGAAGTACTAAAATAGTCTACTAGAAAAATAATATATTAGTTACTATATTTTTCATATTTTGTTTTTTTGTAAATAAATAAACAGTTTTGACATCTATCTAGAACAAAAAACATTCATAAAAAAACGTTAATAATTTAAACAGTGTTTAAATAGAATAAAAACCAGCCCTTAGACCATATACGTCTTATACAGGGTGTTTCATAATTTATGGGCAGGACTTCAGGATGTGATAGCTTGTCCAAAAATTTGAAAAAAAGTTTCTATAAACTTACCCTCTAAAATGCACTATTTTCGAGATACAGGGTGGTGCAATTTAATAAAAAAAATCTTTTTTGCGAATATCTCCGGAACCGTTTATCGTACAGAAAACAGCGTTTATAAGCAAAAATTATAAGCAAAATCTTATAAACGTTGTTATAAACGATTTTTTTTATTAAATTGTCAAATTTTTGGACAAGCTATCACATCCTGAAGGCCTGCGCATATATTATGAAACATCCTGTATATTGAAATATTTATTACAAACGAGTTTTTGTAGATAATTTGTATAAAAACTTTTGGAGCTATTATTATTACCTTAAAAAGCATATATGGTAAACTACTTTAATCGATGTTAAAATTCATGTAATGCTATATAATTATAGTGGTTATATAAAATCTTTAAGCTTTGTTGAAAGGCCTTTTAAGTATCTTCCTTATTTATTTTGTACACCACTTCATCTTCTAAATTCATACAGTTTGTCAATAATATGATTTAACTATCATTATAGTCATTAAAATAATAATTCAGAAATGTATACAAGTTGCAAGTTATGGAAAAATAAGAAAAACCAAAAATAAGTTCTAAATAAGGTGTTGTTTTGAATTAATTTTTATATTATAGGTGAGCTTATTCTATATGTTTCAAATTTGAATCATAACAGATGTTTATAAAAGTGTCTTCGAACATGTTTCTGAAGAAGGTTGCAGTATGGCAAACGAAACGTCAACCCGAAAGTTTCTCGGTTTAGTGTTTGTTCTAGTGATAGTGCTGCTGCTAGTTCTAGTTTTAGTTTAATGAAAAATTTTGTTTACAATAACTTCTGTTTCATTTTATTTTAAACTATTAAAGTTTAAAACTTATTTGCCTTTTTAAACTGCCATGTAACTGTCCATTATGCGTTCTGCACCCACATGTTTATGCTTGACACATATTAATAAAATTTAATCTTACAGCATAATAAGTTTCTTTTGGAGTCATTGTTAACTTATAGAAAGCAGACTCGATACTTCATTTCAACACTTTTATTCTCGGGCACTTTGAGCGATCCTTTACTACCTTATTTTAAGCAAGTTTAATACAGGATTACCCAAAAATATGTTACTACTTACATGGGATCGACTTTTATTTTAACAGCATAACAAACCACATCTTGGGTACCTACATAGAAAAACCCAAATCAAGGTGCATAACAAGCTTGAGTCTTGTAACTGTACTCTTGTGTTATTTTTTGCATTACTTTTTATCATAGATGTTGAAGAGTTGATAGTTGAAGAACCTATCATAGAAGAACCTTGTTGAGGAAATGTCTCTCCCGAGCATCACAATTTGGGCTGCATGCTGTTCTGACACACAATCTTCAGCATACTTGGCAGAACATCAAAATGAAATGTGTGAAATAATTTAATGGCCAAGAATAGAGGTAACAATCGTGGTATTACAATGACAATTGTTTTTGATGACGTTTTGGCGGCTTTTGCCGCTACGAAATAATCATTTTGAAAGAGATACATAAAAATAATCATGACATTTCACCTGGTTTCATGATTATTAGGACCAGAAAAAATTTTCATCACTATTTATTTTATCGAAAATTTGACAATCACAAATTACTTGTTAGCAAAGACCTTAAAGATAACAGAAAAGCTTAGATAAACGTGGGTTACACTTCGATTAAAAGAGGGGTGGACACTTTGGACAAAATGACCATAAAATTGTAGCGTTGCTACAAACATTCGCAATTCACCTTCCAAAAATTACAAAATTTTTAATAGCCATGTTTTCATTTTGTTTGTTACCATAAGAAATTTATAAAAAAAATAGAACGTTGTTATTTTTAGTTTTCTATCACTCTTGTCTAATTGTAACTACACGTAAGACGTACATAAAAATTGTCTTTCAAAAAGAATAATATTTTTTAAAATTTTTAAAAATATAGCAAGTATCAATCTTTCAAAGCAAACTATAAAAATTACCATTACCACCTTGTAGGTATACATTAATCTTCAATGCTTCGAATTTACTTACTACCTTTAAGTCATTTATTGTTTGTGCAATGCTTGCAATTAGGTGCGGAATCCTCGAATGTTCCGATAATAAAAAAATAAAGCAAGGTCTAACGACAAGTTCAATTTACGAACTGTACTTTGCTATTATGACCATAAATAATAATTCATTTTAAGCATTTATTAATGTAATTTGATTGTCATGTCACAGCAAACGAGTTTTCGTAGTTGTTACTGCGTAACAAACTGTATTCGGAATATAACCTTTATATTTTCCCAATCATTTCGTTTTGCATAGCAGAGAGAAATTTGCTAGTAATCTTCTACGTAAAACACTTTCCCGAACACGTTTAACAATTTCCTTAATAATTGATGAACAATTATGAATTTCTCACACAACATGTCATTAACAGCTAATTTCAGCCTGTCTAATGCAAATTGGAAGAAGTTTGATCGGGGTAATTCGTTTTAATTCTGTGTTGCACATTCGATTCATTTAAAGCCATTATTGAACATCCATCAAATCCAAGACCATCAAGTTAGTCCATATCCAATCGGAAATTAGATTGAAATTCGAACAATTCTTCTTTCATCATAACGTACCGAATACCGTTGGACATAAGCTCTTTTTCTCATATATGACACTTTTAATGACTCCTTTAATTTAGGCCGTTTGCACCAAAAAAAAAACATAAAACAGAGAAGGCGTAGTCGAGATCGACAACGTGATAAAATTGACAGATATGTTCCTTATCTTAATTTTCGAAATACAAAATTGTATGTCTTCATACTTAATTACGTAATTAATGCAGGAAGAAGAAGGACTACACGTAGATAATGAAAGCATTGTGGATGACTTAGAATCAGAACCTTCTTCACCTCCTCCCTAATAGCACAGCCATCATCATTAGGCCTACTACCTCCAGCATCGTTATCAGCCAACTTAACTCCAACTGTTGGCCTGTTAATGCATAGGAGACACCATCTCGTATAGCAAAGAAGAAGCAATTTAGCAGATTCAATGTTAGAAACATAGAAACTGAAATTTCGAGTTCCTTTGCAGCAACAAGCAAATAGCAGCAAAAATTCCTCTGAAGATATGGGTCCCAAAACTTTCTTCTATTCATTCTTCTCCTTCTAATATAATATATCATGGTTTCATCGTTAGTGGAACTATCTTTTGACGTTGACAAAACAACATTTATTAACAGTTGTGCATCCATGACTAAACTGAAATAACGACAGGTTTTAATCGCTGATGAGTAGCTTCGTTTGATATACTAATGAGCCAGTAACTGGTTAATGACTTAAGTTACCAACCAGCTTAGTTCCTTTGCAATAGCTCCGTGTACAGATCGCTTTAGTATATGAACTAAATTTATCAGAATAAGAGGTAAGTGTTTTGTGGGTCATGACATGACAAGCAGAGACTTAAGAAGAATTGCATAAAAGTGAATATTTATGGAAAAGAATTATACTAATAAATTATTAAAGAATTTAACCATGAATGCGAGATGGTTCACAAGACTAACATTATAATTTCGTCAACTACACGACCTTGCGTTTAATTTGAGATTTTTGCATGGTTTGATTTTCTGGTTAGATGTTTCACAATTAAAATACAAGTCCGGGATGTGAGTGTGGCAATGAGGGCAATTTAACAATTAAAATTAATATCAATTTTTTATAACATTAAGTTCAAATTATAAGCATCATTTATTTGATCGATGCATCACGTTTTTACGCAATATGTAAACATTTCGTTTATCTACATGAAACGTAATGGATAGGAAGGTTACACGATATTTACTTTGTACATTTTGTATAAATCTATACGCTCCGTTCAAACGAAAATAGTTTCGATTGGCTCTAACGTTAGCAAACACCTGTTTGGTTTCAAATCAAAATTTTTAACTCTTTTAATATGATTAATTTTTTAATAGCCGTTTTCTTTTTTCTAATTTGTTTAAAGATTTATTTTAAAACACGTCTTAATCAGCACAAATGTTATAAATGTTTAATTGGGAACACAGTAGTGATAACAGGTGCAAATGCAGGTAAAACAATAAATGTTATTAAATTATTTATAAGAATCAAGATAAAATTGTATACCTATTTTTAGGACTCGGTTTTCATACAGCTTTAGATTTTGCACAACGCGGTGCAAAAATAATTTTAGCTTGTAGAAATTCACAAAGGGCACAAGAAGCTGTAGATAAAATTATCAAAGCAACTAATAATGAGAATGTCAGTTACAAGATTTTTGACGCTGCTTCGTTTAAATCGATACGCAATTTTGCTAAAGAAATAAACGAAACTGAGGAGAAAATCGATATTTTAGTAAATAACGTTGGTGGATCCGGATTTAGAGATGAAAGGACCGAAGATGGGCACTTAAAAATTGTCCAAATAAATCATTTAGCACCATTTTTATTAACACATCTCTTATTGGGTAAATTAAAACGATCACCATCAGCAAGAATAGTTAACATTGCTTCTTGGGCTGGAAAATTTGGACGGTTTAAAATTGGTGATTTGGAAACATATCCTAATTCTGGAAACGATTTTATTTCGGACGCTGTAACTTACGCTAATAGTAAATTATACAATATTTTATTTACTTTAGAATTAGCTAAGAAATTAAATGGAACTAACGTCACAACAAATTGTCTTCATCCCGGAACTGTTAACACTGACTTCTTTCGATTATTTCCTTGGTACTTCCGAGAACCTGCTCGAATTAGTGGAACATTGTTTTTTAGGGTAAATTATTTAAAATTTTATATCTTGACATACAGCGAATTTCACTTAAGATGTAATATACAAAAATATATTTCCATAGAAACCAGGAAACCATATCACTATGTTACATTTTTTTATTGAACTAAAACTAGAACTATCACTAGAATTAACACAAGATCTAGAACTAGAATCATTCGGGTTTAGCCGTCTTGAGAGACGTGCGGCTAAATCCGAATGTATCTAGTTGTAGGTCTAATGTTAGTTCTAGTGATAGTGCTAATATAAAACTAACATTAAAACTAACATTCGGATATAGTCGCACGTCTTTCAAGACGGCTAAACCCGAATGATTCTAGTTCTAGGTCTAACCTTAGTTCTAGAACAGTGGTAAGTAGCGCTAGTTAGTGTAACACATCACTAAGTTGCATATTTTTATTGAACTAAAACTAGTACTAACACTAGACCGAGAACTAGAAACATTTGGATTTAGCCGTCTTGAGAGACGTGCGGCTAAATCCGAATGTTTCTAGTTCTCGGTCTGGTGTTAGTTTTAGTTTTACATTAGCACTATCACTAGAACTAACATTAGACCTATAACTAGAATCATTAGGGTTTAGCCGTCTTGAGAGACGTACGGCTAAACCCTAATGATTCTACTTCTAGGTCTAACCTTAGTTCTAGGACAGTGGTAGGTAGCGCTAGTTAGTGTAACACATTACTAACAAGGGAAGTATCAGAACTGTCCCTCACCGATTTTATTGAAATTTGGTACAACGATAGTATGGCCAAAAATAAGGTTTACGTATTTTTTTATACGTGCTAATAAAGCCCCTGGGGCGAGTTATAAGGGTTGGAAATCGGGACGAAATATATACAGGGTGGTTCAGTTTTTAATCGGGAAACTTTACTAGGATGTAGTACTTGCCAAAATAACACAAATTTTTTATATAAACATAGGGTCGCAACTCATTTGTTTTCGAGCTATGAGCGATCAAAGTTGAAAAAAAAATTTACATTTTGTTTTGTATTTCGGCTGTAAATAAACCGTAGAATTTGAAACTTTGTACATATGTACTACTGGTTAAGACCTTATTTTCAACCATACCTTAAACTTCGGCAGCGCCCTCTAAGGGGATGAAATTCACCACACCCTTGATTTTTTTTATAATAACTTTTTAACGCTGTGGAATATTAACATAAAAAATATGGGTTGTGAAGCTCATTCTTTAGTGGTACTTTTTTGTCTCTTTAGTATTTTCCTTAAAGTTAATAGTTTCCGTGTAAAAAAATAAAATACCGTGCCATGTACCGCTATGTGCCGTCATGTTTAGCTAAAATTATTCTAAAAGTTGGCTCTGAGAACTTGTAAGTTTCATTTACAGTGAATCCTCATAATTATTGCTGGTTATTAATAATTTTTGACGGTTATTAAGCCAGAGTATCAATTTTTTAATATTGTTTAAAACAACGTAATTTGTTCAGACAGGCATTAATCTTATTTATGGTTTTTCTTATGAAAATCACAATTAATTGGTGTTATTTAGTTAGTACTAGATCCTAGTAAGTGCACAACTTCCATAGCCACCTATAAAGAAAAATTTTTTTTAATAATAGCAGCGCTTTACAGTACAATGTAGCATATTTTATTTTTTTACGTTAAAACTATTATTTTTAAGGAAAAAACTAAAGAGAGAAAAAAGTACTAGTAATGAATAAGCTTTACAACCCATATTTTTCTTTGTTAATATTCCATGGCGTTAAGAAGTTGTTATAAAAAAATCAAAGGGGCTGTGAATTTCATCTCCTTAGAGGGCGCTAGGGAAGTTTAAGGTATGGTTGAAAATAAGATATTAACCAGTAGTACATACATACCAAATTTCAAATTCTATGGTTTACTCATACCCGAAATAAAAGATAAAATGTAAATTTTTGGCTCAACTTTGACAGCTCATAGCTCTTTTTT